GTTTAGCTTTGTGAAGATTGGTAGGGTTTTGTTTGTTTGTTTTAAGAAAGCCTCCAAGAAGGAAAGTTATGTGTGCACAGCTTGGAAACACAGCAGCTGTCATTCTTGTTCAGGTTGCTTATTATTTAGAGGTGAGGAAATAGGTGATGTTCTTTGTCTTAATTTTGTAGTGGTTCTCTTTTTGGTGTAGAAGAGATGTGGTAATCTCTTTTTTTTTGATGGCTGAAGGTTATCTGCAATCCTCTGAGAAAAGAGATGAGTGTTGCCTGTTTCTGGATTCAGAGAGAGCTTTCTGCCATTATCTACCCCTTCATTGCTGAGTCTGGAAGTGAACAGACAGAATCTACTGTCTCCTTGCTACTTGGCAGGACCAAGTAGGCCTAAAACTGTTCCCAGTTACTGTTTGTCTAATCTCATGCGTTAAAGATGAGCTAAGTAGATAGCAGTGGGACAGATTACTAGGAGCTTGCTGTCGGAGCAGGCCATCACTTTCTTAAAACTTCCTATCATGTTTTGTTTGTTTTTCTCCCTAGACCGAGGTATCTGATTACTCTAAATGCCTTTACCAATTCCCTATTTTCAAAGAGGGTTTGTGTGGTTACAGTAGTGAACGTGATCGTTCTTAAGTTCAAGAGGTCCTTGAATCAATAAACTTCCTGTTTCTCTCCAGGAGCCAGTGGTGCTGACAGATACAAATCTGGTTTATCCTGCTCTGAAATGGGACCTGGACTACCTCCAGGAAAACATTGGCAATGGGGACTTCTCAGTGTATAGTGCCAGCACACACAAGTTTTTGTACTATGATGAGAAGAAGATGGCCAATTTTAAGAACTTCAAACCCAAGTCAAGCAGGGAAGAGATGAAGTTTGCTGAATTTGTGGACAGACTCAAAGAAATACAACAAAAAGGGAGTGCTGAGAGGTAAGTGATGTGTGGAGGTTTCTCCATTTCTGCAGGTCAACGGATGAGGTAACATTGTGGCTTAACCTCGGCCAGCAATGAAGTACCGTGCAGCCACTCACTCACCTGCCCCCATCTCCAGTGCAGGAGGAGAATCAAAGGAAAAGACAAGGAAGCTCGTGAACTGAGATAAGAACAGTTTACTATAATATTAATTTTATATTAAATTATTAATGCTAGTAATATTAACAATGCTGTAATAATAAGCAATTAAAATTATAGAAAATAAAAAATACAATACAGTTACTCACCACCTAATGACTGATACACAACCAGGTCCTGAGTAGCGAGAGTCAGAGCCACAGAGCCTAATCGCTGGAGCATGAGAGTGATCACAGCAGAGTCCAAGTGAGCCCCGTGAGTGACAGCACAACCAAGAAAGCCAACCAACCCACCAACTCACTGACAAACAAGCAAGCTATAGCCCCGCCGCCGGTGTACATGCTCAGTACATACCCGCTGGTGTATGTACTGAGCATGACGTGCTATGGAATGAAATACTCCTTTGGTCAGTTTGGGTTAGCTGTCTGAATGGTGTGTCCCCCAACACTGCTTGTAGTGAGAAAGTTGAGAACACAGGTGCAGTATCAGAAGCTGAAAAACTCATTGAATTGGTGCAAACGCTCCTTAGCACCAGCTAAAAAACACCCCACCAGTACTATTCTCAGGGGAAATCCAAAACATAGCCTCATACCAGCTACTGTGAAGAAAATTAACTCTGTCCTGACTAAAACCAGCACAGATAAGTTTCTCTTCAGTGAGTGTTGATGATTAAAACCTTTCAAACTGTTCAAGATTTTGTAGCCCTGCTTTTCCTGCAGGGCTGCTACTTGACAGCAGCCTTATTATCTAGTAAAAAGAAGTTGTACCATTAGTTAATCAAACTGTTTACATTGTCTGCAGAGACTTTTTCTCCTTCCCTGTCTGAGGCAGGGTTTGGTTAGAGAAAGCCTTAAGCTTCACTTTCATTTGGCAGATCATGGTATTGGTAGAGGAGCTTAGTTATCTGATTAAAAAGTCCAGGCTATAGCACTCAGCCTTTTTTACAGAATACTAAGTTAGCTGATCCTAACCCTCTTTCAGAAGATGAGAAAAGGTTGCATATGTGCAGTGTATTTCTTGGTGGTGATGGCCTACACCATTAAGAGAGCTGTAAGTTACTGAGAGGAGCGTCATGCTTATACGGAATATGACTGTTGGCAACTTAAACCTTCAGTTAATTTTATCAGTCACCAGCCCTCTAAAAGGACTTATGGATGATTAATTGTGTCTTAATTGGAAGCAAATCTGTGTCTTTCTTTTCTTTCCCAGCTCTGGGTGTGCTTCTTCCAAGAGAGAAGGTAGTCATTGAGCTTAAAAATGCATTTTTCTTCCAGTATTGCAGACAATCTGTAGTACTGCCATTGTTAATACAGATGTTTGGTTCCTCTGATTCTCTGTGTCTAAATGTAAGCTTAGCTTTAAAGAAACTTGATACTGAAATGTGCTGGGTTTCCTGAGCCCTCTTTTTCATCTCACACAACTCTGGAAGAGATAACTCTTATCACAAATGAGACAGTGGTGGCATTTATCTGGGGATTATTCATGAGTGTGTTTGATATGTGATAGTGAGCAGTCTGTTTACAGTTTCCTCCTCATGTACTGTGAAGCAGTTTTTCTTGCTCTAAATTCTTTTTTCTTTTTTCCCCCCTTGTGATTGTTCAAGCAGAACTGAGTTCTCTTCCCTTCTGTATCAGGAAATCTTTCAGCAAAGTTTTGGGGACTTTTTGAAACTGTTTCCTTACTCAGTTGTTTATGGTGTGTGGTGATAGAACAGAATCTCTAGGAGTTATGTATCTTTGTTTCTGAAATCTTTCTGAAGAGATGTAGAGATATGTCTTTAAGTTCATGAACAAAACTTAATACCTGATTTCTGCTTGTCTGGGGAAAATACAGGCTTTATCTGCAGCAAACTCTGAATGACACAGTTGGAAGGAAGATTGTGGTGGATTTCCTTGGTTTCAACTGGAATTGGATTAACAAGCAGCAAGGGAAACGTGGTTGGGGTCAACTGACTTCTAACTTGCTTCTTATTGGCATGGAAGGTAAACAGTTTCCTCTGACTGGAGGAGAACGGGAGAAAATCTGTATTTTGCTTCCAGAAGGGCTTTCAAATGGATTTTCCACTAATTTCTAAGTATTCCTTCAGAGCTGGCCATTTAAAACATTTTATTGGGAGGGGACTGTTGTCACAACTTAACTTGGGCTATAGAGAGGAAACAACCAAAGGAATAGCCTGTGTTTCCCCAGGGCTGTACTGTGAATGCCTGGATGTAATCTGCTCATGGGAAGGCTCTGTGATGCTGGTAGGGCTGTGTTTTCAGTAATTGCTAATCATATTCTGAGACCTGTTTATTGTTTGAATGCCTCAGATGCTGTAGATTAAAAATGCTCAGAGTCTGCAGATGTAAAATGCAAAAGGGTTTGAGCAAAGTTAGTCTTCTGGGCTTTTCTTAGCATGTTTACCCAGGAGGAGATGTTGATTATTCTGTGCAGCGTTTGTTCATGTTTGAGCTAGTACGCTGTGGGGAGGCACTCTCTTTCAATTAAGAGCTGAATTTCTTCTTGGCAGGTTAGAGGTCACTGCAGAATTTGAAAATGGATAAATCCTAAAAATATCTGGATAGAGTGGAATTCCAAATCCATGTGGAGGCTGACTCATAGGCAGGTGCCTTAGGAGACAGACATACTACTACAATGTTGCAGAGGAGAGCATTCTACTAGAAAGTAATCGCAACAACTGGGCAAGGAACGTACACAGTTTTGTGAAGTGGGATGGCCACTTAATGTTGCAAAGGAGAGCATTCTACTAGAAAGTAGAAAGTAATCGCAACAACTGGGCAAGGAACGTACACAGTTTTGTGAAGTGGGATGGCCACTTCAGTGTGGCTGTCTCATCCAATTACAATTGTCCAGTTATAATTACTTGGCAATTCATAGCAGTTCAGTTCTGACAGCAGATGTTTTTTACCCTTTGCAACAAGTCGTACTCAACTTGCAGCAGTTCGCCACTTGTTTTACTAACTGAGAGAAGAGAACTTCATAGGAAGCACTGCACCAACACTTCCCTACAGGTCATAATACGAACACTAAAATCCTGTTGTCAACAGGTTACGCGCAAGAGCCAAGGAATGGTCTTGAACCGTTGTGGGCTAGAAAAAGGAATGTCTTTACAGCAGCATGAGATTGATCTATTTAATGAAGTTATGAGGTTAACTTATCTTCATTTTCTCCGTAGTGAAAATACATATAAAAAGCAAGCTAAAAGAGTAATATCTAAATTCACAAACAGCTGGACAAACGTAGTTGTAACTGGTACAAGAAGACCCACTGTATTTAAATATTTGATTGAAATTAAGATCTAGTGGCAATAGTCAAGGTTCATAACTCTTAATCAGACTGAGGAGGTGCTGTTGGGAGCCCCAGTGATAAAGAGATTTGTTGACTTGTTTTCTTGCAAAACTTCTAGGACTTTTTTTCAAAATCAGACTGTTAGACTCCTTTTCTCTAGAAGAATCATTTCTCAAAGTCCATTCCACAACTTGTCTTCTAAACAGTGTTTTATGAAAAAGCTTCCCATCAACATTCACCATCTGCTGTTCATGGAAGCAAGCTGGAAATCCTAATCCTGTAGAACATAAGTTGCTGAATACGGATTTAGAATGCAAATTAAGTGGGATAGCAACTACTCAACGATAGTTTATAACGTTCCTGCGGTCATTTTCCTTGTTTAGTCTTTTGAATATGTGGGAGTGTATTTACTGTCTTTAGCCAGGAATATAACTCGCTGTTGTCTTTCACACCTGTATGCAAGAGTGTTTTGATTATGATCTTTCCTCTCTGTGTAGGGCATGTGACACCAGCTCATTATGATGAGCAGCAGAACTTCTTTGCTCAGATTAAGGGTTACAAGAGGTGTATCCTGTTCCCTCCTGATCAGTTTGAATGCCTCTACCCTTATCCTGTGCACCATCCATGTGACAGACAGAGCCAGGTGAGAGTAGCAGATCTGTTCTCTGCTCTGAACCAAAGAAGGGCACTTGTGAAGATGCTGGGTGGGAGGAAGCTGCACTGGAATTGAAGCTGAGCTTTTGCAAAACCTGTGTTCAGATCTGTTAACTGGTAAATACATTGTGAATAGATGGAAGGACTGGTGGTGTTCCTCTTTGTGTCTGGTCCTGACTTGCAAGTTCTAGGGCTGTAAACATCTTATTGATAGCACAGCTGGGCTGTAGTTGCTGCCTTCTCTGTTCTGTTTCACTGATCACACACAGATTTGCTCAGAGGCAAATTGCAGGACTGTCTGACAACTGCCTGAGTTGGTGGTACGTTGGGGGTACTGCAGGACCTCACAATGGAGTTGACATAAATAGGAATGTAAAAGCCAAATAGGGAAGATCAGGAGGATTTGATACTGAGAGCCAATAATGAGGACTGTCATTGCAGGAAGTTATTCTCAATTTATTAATGTTTTCTTCCATTAGGTGGACTTTGACAATCCTGACTATGAGAAGTTTCCGAACTTCCAGAGTGTGGTGGGCTATGAGACGGTGGTGGGTCCAGGCGATGTGCTATACATACCGATGTACTGGTAAGAAGGATGGTGGGACTGCCCAGTGGCTGGCAAACAGAGGTTTAAAAGATCTTCTGCTTAAAGTGTTGGGTTGGCTTTAAGAGAATTTTGTCCTGACTTCTCCAGCAAGTATGATATTTGCTGTGATATCTTGGGACAATCTGCTTCTACTTCCTATCTGTTGGATGGGAATGGTAGTTCTCCCTGACACTGTGTTGTTGTGAGAGTACTCCATTAACATGTGGGGGAAAAGGATCTGTATTTAAATAAGGAGAGCTTTCTAGAAGTTGTGAAGTCTTGATGATGGGAGGTATAGGGCAAGGCTTATCTAGTGCAGTTGGAACTCATCCATCCATGGTATTTCACTAGTAGCTACAGCAATAGTTTATTCTCTTTTTTTTGTGTGTTTTCCATCCAGGTGGCACCACATTGAGTCTCTCCTGAATGGGGGGATTACCATCACTGTGAACTTCTGGTACAAGGTAAGTCACCTTCCTGCGCAGCTTGGATAGCTCGATCCCAGAAGACTTTTTTTAGGTAGACGTGTATTAGCACGTGTTGTCAACATGAGAACTTCATTGCACCAAATCCTTTGTTTTAAAGCTGAAAGCTACCTTCTCTGTTTCGAGTGGTGTGTGAAGAACTGCGTGGCTGGGAGAAGGTGGAATAATCTGCCAACTCAGGAAGTATGCAGTGAATTATTTTTGCTATTTTAGGGTGCCCCAATCCCAAAGAGAATTGAATATCCGTTAAAGGCTCATCAGAAAGTGGCGATAATGAGGAACATTGAGAAGATGTTGGGAGAAGCCTTAGGAAATCCACAAGAGGTACAAAAAAGAACTGTATAGTCACTGCTGTTGAAATTGTAATGGCTTAATGCAAAACTCGAGATGCCAAATATTTGGCTCTGCAGGTGTCACAGTGAGGGTAGGAGAAAGCAGGGTTGCTCTGTTGCTGTGAATGGTTCTTCCTGCTGTCTTCAGAAGGTCCTTTGGCTACAAAAAGGCAAGCTCTTTAAATTACAATTCTGGAGAGGACTGCTACAAACAGTGGAGTAGTTGTTCTTGTATGTGGGGGAAGGTGTACTTTGGCCTTGGGCACTGCCAGGGAAGTGTTACTCCCAAACTCTCCTTCGCCTTCTGTGCAGCAACAGTACCCAATATTAAACCCAAACCAACCCAAACCTGTTTTACCTGTTGAATCCAAATCTACTAATAATAGAAATATTTTCTGTTAAGTCATGTGCTTCCCCCTTAATGCATGTCTCAGTCATTTCTGAATTCTTTGCAATTTTAACCAACTGGGATTTCAAAAAGCAGATTGACTTACTAAGAGTATGTTTTGAAGATCTCCTGATGATCTGAAAGTGGAAGTACTGGATGTGAATAGAAATGTTTTCATGGTCTGTAACCCTTACCACTGCACAAGAACTTCTCTTTAGCACACTCTTGTGAGATCATGCGTCTCCCCTGAGATTATCTTACTGCCACAGCATGCTGAACTTCCCTCAGTGGTCAGGCAGTCCTGAGAAATGGGGAGTGGTCTCGACTGAAAACAAAACCTTATCAAAATCGGCAGTCCTAGCCTTCCTTCCAGGTGACCCCAAGGACCAGAGTGGACTCAGTGAGTGTGAATGTTCCTTCTCTGCCCTGTAAAAAGCAGCCCCTGATGACTATTGGCTCCTTTTGATAACATCTACTGAGAAATCACAAATTTAGGGTGGAAGTGAAAAAGTTTCAAATGCTATGAACACAATGTTTTGGTGACCACTCAAGTTGGGTGTTGGCAGTGAACCTTGCAATTTTGGGAGGGTATTTGAGGATGTGTGTGAAGGGGTGCCCCAGCGTTTTATCTACAAAATACTTTGAAACTGATTCAGTGTGCCTTAAGCTCAGTTTGTGTGCTGAGATCCTTTGCCCTGGGCCGCCCAGCTCGTTAGGTGGTCTTGTGCAGAGGGGAGCAGACTCTGCAGCTGCCATTTCTGTGTGAGTGTCCCAGCTAACCATCTGTTTTTGCTTTGAACAGGTGGGTCCCTTGTTGAATATGATGATTAAGGGACGGTATGACTAATGCCTGGCTGCCCGGGTGACTGATGTTGGAGCTGCTTTGTTCACAAGCAATGGAAGATACTGAGCGCTAGTATTGCACGCAGCACTTAACAGACTGATGGGTTTCCTGGCCCATTCCTGCCCCACTACAATAAATGGGGCTACTGGAACTGCAAAACTGTTAGTACCCCATTCATCCTCCACTCTCATCTAACCGAACCTACCAAGAAAGAGTCTGCACTTACTGGAAGCTGGATTCATGCTCACTAATTTGTTTTTATTCCTTCTCCCCTATTTGCCACAACAAGGAGCATGGCTTCTGGCACGTGGATGTGTTGCTTCAGGATTTTCAGGCATTTGAAGAGGAGCTTGGAGGAGAACAAGGAGTGATATTGTTCCCCAGCCTCATGGGGTTTAGGCCTCGTGGCTGGGCTTATGTGTTGGTGCCTGCAGTGGATGTAAGATGGGAAGTGATAGGTTTCACAGTCCTCTGTTGTTAGAGGACCTGTCTGCTCTACTCTGGCAGCTTTTTGTATAACAGAAACGAACATGTGAGATGGCCTGTGTGTGATGAGCAACGTGAGAAATGATTCAATTTCTTCAACTCAAGATGTCTATGCTTTGGACTTAATACAGGGTAGAGATCAGTGTGAATTCATCTAGTGTGAGCACCAAATCCTATGCTCTCCACATAACATCTGTTGGAGTCTAGATGAACCTCCTTTATGACAGCTTTCTCTGGGGTGTGAAGGCTTGTCTCCTGCTCTTCTGAAGCTGCAGTGTGGTTAAAAGGCCATGTAGCGTTATGAAGGGAGATGCGTAAATGCCAGGGCGCGCTCCAAGTTTTGAATGATTAAGCCACATTTTTAAAGGAAATTCCCCAGGGGTGCCGAGCTAGACTGTCAAAATGCAGTGTTGGATAGGTACGGAGCCTCCCTTCTCCTCATCAGGAGTGCTGGCTCCTCAGACTAACATGGGAAAGTGCCCTTTTTACTGAAACTGCAAGAACTCAAGTGTGTGTGGCTGCGCACAGGTGCGCATGTTTGTGTGATGTGTGGCTCCTGTCCATCAGTTAAATCCATGCCAGTGTGTGGTTCCCTCCCTTGTACAGTCATGTGAAAGAGGTCAGGGCTTTGTGTTTAAATGTGGTTAAGTTTATCTTGATCCTTTTCGTGTTCCGTGTTCCGGGACATGACATGGATTGCCAGGAAGTGACAAGACCAGGGCATAGCAGACAAGCCTCCGGTTAAGAGTCTTCAGAAATCACTCTCAAAATCATTTTGCTTTCCTCCTTTTCCATGCAAAAATCTGAGACTCATGGAGGCTGGCTTTTTATTCCTTGCGGTGTGCTGCACTGCTGTCCCTGGTTGGGGGGTGGTGCAAAGGTCTCTTATATTTGATGCGGTTGTAATGGGTCTCAAGAGCTACAGGTGAGAGAAACTGTTTCATAGCCCATGTATCTTATCCCAGAGAATAGTGGGGGACTTTCTCTTGAGACTTTCCATTGTTTTTTGGGGCTTGTTCTGATGTGGGATTTTAATAAATGTGTTGAGAACATGCTGCTCAAGAAGCGCTCTGTCTTTGGCCTCAGGCCCCATCTTTTGCTGGGACAGCTCACGCACCACTTGCTGTGAGGTTGTCTTGCACAAAGGTGAAAGGCTTCTCGAACAGGAGGTCCTGCAGGCTAGTTTTCTAGCTGCTTTGCAGGTCAGAACAAATGAAGTGTAATTGGCAGCTGCAGGGACCTTATTTAAGAAATGTCTGTGTCACTGAGTAGTCTGGCTGCCATGTTACTTGTTGCAGACTCTCCAGAGCTGTGGTTAGATCCAGACGAAGGTCACTCAGCTGGATACTTATCAGCGCTCAGCCTCTGGGCACGTGGGGAAGAAGGCTAAGTTGCTGACTCTGGCCAAAAGCAAGGCCTTCCTAGGAATCCTGGGCATGTGCCCTTGGTTGAAAGATGCTCAGATGAAATCCCATCTCTGTGCTATTTATTCAGCACATGGTAGTCTCCAGTGCTACTTGTTAGGCACCATCAACTCTTGAAGCTCAGGGTGGGAGTTCATATCCCATGTGGAGAGAGAATGGTACTTACAGAACTTTAGGGTCCTTTTTTTTTTTTTATTTGCCAAAGGTCTAACTTTTAAAGTGTCTGAACAGGTTTTGCTGCACTTGACTTCGTGAAAGCTCATTTTCAATGCACTGATGGACTGACTCCCCCCCTTCCCTCTTCACCTTATGCTTTCAGTGTCCCTTGCCATGGTATTGGGAAGCTGTGTGTGTTCTCTGCTAGGGGTGTGTGTGCAGGGGGTGGGGTGTGACAAACACACGGTACCTTCTGAAGTGTAGTTCTTAAATACAACCAATGTTGAACAACAGAACAGTGTGGCTTTTATTTTGTGAGTGGCTGTATAAAGAGATTTGCATATAAAGCTACCTTTCAGTCTTTCTAACAACTCTGCTTGTGATCTTCACTGGCAAGCTGCTGGTCTCCAGAACAGCAATACCAACTGCATTATAGTGTGTCTTCAATTTTTTTGATACTACTTCCATAAACCTGAAAGCAAAGCTGGGAATGAAATGGTATCCTTGAACCCTCTCAACAGCAAGTGTTGGTGGGGAGGGAAAAAATTATCCTTGCTGCTGACATGAATGGTGTCACCATGCTCTGGTCACTGACAGGGTGATGGCACAAACTACACTATTGGGTCTAATAAGTTATATCAGGTGCTTATCCTTTGGGGTATCTTTTCTTCCATTTAGTCCTTTATCCAATTCATATTTTGGCCAAGGAGATTTTTGGGCGAGGCTTCCTCTGTGTACCTCTGCTGTATGTTGTCACCCTTGGGTGGTGGAGTCCTCTCTGCCTAATAACGACAGGTTATGTTATAGTAGCTTGTTATCTAACCTTCAGTGAAATGTTGGCTAGATACAAACAGATTTCTAATGTGTAGTAAAATGGGGAAGAGTTCAATAGAGAGATTAGGGATGTTGGGGGTGTAGGGGGGGAGAGACAGCTGTGTGAGCCCGGGGTACCACAACTGGTATTCTTTCCTCATGCCCTTGGGGGACAGGATGAATGTGGAGGGAGTAGGAAAGACAAGTGGATAGTCTTCTGTGACCATGGGTGTTCACCCTTCCCTGCTGTGCCTGCTGGGATCATCATCCCTGAACACACACTGGCTTCTGTTCCACTGAACTGAGTAGTCTGCTGCATCTGACACTGTAGCCTTTCTGTTGTGCACGTACCTCTTGGGTAGCGTGCGCATCTGGCACTACAAAGCCTGGAAATGTCTCAGGTTGAGCGGAGAAGCAGAAGAAACTGAGGTACGGGAACGATGTCATTTGGAATCCAGATCAAACGTCAAGATTTTCACTTGTACTTTTAGTCTCTGTCTTGTTTGCTTTTATTACCTTAGGTTCTATAATACCTTTCTTCACTTCTCTTTCCCCTATTTTCCTGTTCATTGGAAAGTGAGATTTTTCTTTAATCCATATAGATTGTGACTGCAGGATCTTTCCCATAGAAAGAGGAGAACATGGGTTTTTAGACTTTGATACTGTTTTATCCCCTTGGTGACCAGGGTCAGGCTCAGCGATCACCCAGGAAATTTGGAGTGATAAAGCAGGTCCAAGGTGAAGGCCCAGGGTTGAGGAGGTGTGAGACAAAGCTGTGATGCAGGGGCAGTCTAACATGGGGTTGAGGAGGGAGGTACTCAGTATCAAAGTAGCTCTTGAGAAAGGGGGGCAGGCTTGGGCTGAGACTGCTGCTGCTTTTCTTTACAGCAGCTCTTACCAGCGAGCAAGCTGACCTTGAACGCAGCCAACTGCTCTTTAAAGTCCTACAATGGGGACAGCGCTCTCAAGGTCTTGACAGTCTCTTGGCTGGCTTTGGTTGCTTCATGGTCAACCCATGCTGCCATCCCAGCCCCGGAAGCAGAGCAACAACTACAACAGGGGGTATTGCCTTTGCACGTGTTTTTCAAAGCGCTTTTCTCTTAAGCTTCCTTTCCTTGCACTCTGTTTAGTTTATGCTCTTCATCTTCCGTTTTGGAGACAGAGCACCTCTCCTGTCAGTGTCCTGGGAAGTCCTGAAACCACCATCTTCCCTGGGTTCTGTCCTGCATTTGGGCTCCCTAGAAGGAAAGAGATGCTGTTACTGTGACAAACACATGCAAAGTAAGTTCTAATTACTGCCTGCAAAGTCAAATATTTGTTGCAAGCAGAGGACTAATTGTGGGGGGAGGGAGCGGAAGTCGAGGCTCTTGGAGTGTAAGTGGAACAGATGCCCGGACGCCTTGGGGAAACGCAGCTTTCCTCTACAAATCAGAGCTTTAAATTACAAGGCTTTTACCAACGAGAACAGTTGTGGGAAGTCGTCTGCTCTCATTTGCGTAATGGCTTCTGTCACTGGTGATTAGACACAGGATGAAGGAAAAGAAATTTGACAATTAGGAATGAGCGATCATTAATCAGAATCTTTGTTAGAAGGAGGGAAGGGGGGGTGTGGAGAATATCCTGCAAACAATGGAGGCAGCCACTAGCGCCACAGCAAAGTCCATGAGATGCGTAACTGAGAGCTACTGTTGCTCTACAGAGCCTCCTCAGCCTGGGGATGGAGCAGCAGCAAGGGTCTTGGCTCGGTTGGAAAGCTCGCAGAGGAAAGCAGCTAGGCAAAATCCTTCCCGTGCTGTTCAGGGCTTCTCAACTATCTGCTTTGGATGGGGGAGAGCCCTCTCCTTGTCCCATCAGCACCTTGTGCGTCCTTCTCAGTGTCTGACCACAAACTGCTAGCAAAAAAACACAGGAACAAATTCTTAACTTTCTGTGGTTTCCTTTCCCCCACCTTGCACGCAGCCTTGCAGTTTCTGATGCAGAGGATGGCCAGCATGGGCCTTGACTGGCATACAGAAAGATTAGGATGAACAATGTGAAAGCAGCTCCAGGTTCTTTTCCTGATAATGTCATTTCCTACAAGAGTACGGAGCAACGTGATGGGCTGCGTGACAGGTAAATAAAAGAAGGCAGTTGTGACTTCTCCATGTCTGCCGTTTGTTGGCTTAGCTCATCATCCAGCCATGCACAATCCAGTATATGCATTTGTTTGGGTTTTGTGGGTTTTGATGAAATCACCGGTACACACCAAGTCTGTTACCTGTTTTTCCTACAGCTGTCATTCAAAGTCGTGTCAGGTTAAACATTTTGGTGTAGTTTACACTGCCTGTGATTAGATCGACGGTTATAACTTGGGAGGGGGGATGGCATACCATTTGTGGGACAGATAAAGTTGGTTGGTGGATCTCAAGACTTAAACTTACTGGATTCATTGATTTCAGTGACAGCTTCTGTCTTCACAAGTCTGGGTCATTCACTTGAGGCTGAGGTCTCCGTCAGGGTGATTATTCTTTCTGTGACTGGTAATCAAAGCAGATACCTTCAAAGGGCAGAGCTAAAGCCATGTTGCCTCATTCCCAGCTGGCTCTGAGCTCAGACGAATGACAGCAGCTTGGATTTTCAGCCTTCTCCCATAGCTAGTGGTGTTCACCACAGGAACTCAAAAGAGAAAACCA